TTTCACTCACCACGCCTTGCTTGCAGGTTTTGCATTGTTTTTTCCACCAAGAGTACAGCTGTGTTGTCACTCTCTGATGTCTAGAGATTACAAGCAGCTTTAGAACTGCCATTGCCAAACACTCCCAACTACATGACAGTTTAAAAATATATGTATGGATACTAACATATATTTTTTTTCAGCAAGAAATGATTTATTCTTTTTCATTCCTAACCCTAATTCCCATTGTACTCAAAATGGACAGTAATAAACATTTCATTTCTGCTTAACTAGGCTTGTTAAAACCTTTTCAATATGGTGAAATATACGTATATATAAAAAGTATATAAAGCACAACTGAATACCATCATGATAATTATAAAGAACACACCTAGTAGTCTGTGTCACTACCAGTCCCACTGTTTGTTGCCTCTAGATCTCGCTGTCCCTCTCCTGACTAAGGAAACCATTACCTTGACTTTATAGTAAACATATTCTTTATAGTTTACCAAATAATGTACACATCCCTAATTATAGTTTAGTTTTGTGTTCTTTTTGAAGTTCATATGAGTGGGATCATCCAGGATGTATTATTGTATGTTCTGGCTTTATTTAATTTATAGCATATGTGGAAGATTTTGGATTAAAGTCAGGGCCTATTTCATTTTATTGCTGTAAAATGTTCCAATCTATGAATATACCATAATTATATATCCATTCTACTGCCTTTGAACATTTGTATTGTTTCTAATGGGGAACAATTAGGAGCAATGATGCTATAGACAATCTTTTATATATTATGCATTCTGGTCCACATGAGCAGATTTAATTAGTTCTATTCCTAGGGCTGAAATTATAGAATGCTAAGATATGTATATCTTCAACTTTACTAGCTAATTACAAAATGTTTTCCAAAGCAGTTAAATAAATTTCATTCCTCCTAGCAGTTTATCAAATTCACACAATTCACACTTTGTTCACTCTTAGGGGTTTGTAATAGTATTTTAATATAGTTGTAATTTGCCTTTCAATTACTACTATACATTTAACAACAATTTAAATTTCATTTTCCCTAAAGTTTCTGCTCAAATATTTTGCCCATTTTAAGTTTTCTTCCTTTTCTGTATCAATATTTGTTCTAAAATCTGTATATTAGGTCTTTGTTATCTATTTCACAAGCTTTTTATCAATTCTGTGACTCATATGTTTATTAGTAATGCTTTTAGATGAATGAGTTCTTATTTCAATGATTTCAATGTAGTCAAATTTGCTAATTGTTTCTTAAATATGCTTTTTGTTTCTCATTTAAGAAATTTTTCCTAATTCCAAGTTCATGAAAATAGTCTTTTACAGTCTTTTCTGAAGGTGTTGTAATTGTATTTTTTTACATCTCAGTCTATAATTCACCTGGAATTGCTTTTATAGTATAAGGCAGGGATACAGTATCTTTCTTTTCCTTTGTTTAAATTCAGTAACATTTTTGTCATGTAAACAACTATATTGAAGACAGCATCCCTATTCAGTTTTTGTAGAGTAACCTTTGGAAATAATAATAATGACAATGATAATATGAGTGATAATGACAAAATAATAGCAAATATAGTACTTATTTTACATCTTTATTTTGTATACTCAAATATACTCCTTAGAAATGTAGATCTCAGGGCTGGAGATTTAGCTCAATGATACCGCACCTGCCTTGCAAATGCAAGGTCCTGAGTTTGACCCCTGGTACCAAAATAATAAATAAATAAATAAATAAATAAATAAAATGCAGATCTCTCATTCTCTTGATGTATTAGTCTTATGTGTTTGTTTTTCTATTTGTATACCAAATTTACATATTATCACTTTATATATGCTTATGTGTGTTATAATATAAAATATATCAAAGGTATTACAAGATAATAAATATATATATATCATAGTTATTGATGATCAGAATTTGTGTATTTTTAAGTACGGTTAAACCAAGAAGTCATTTTAAAAAGATGATATGATTCTTCTTGATCCTCTAATTTGAGAAGATAATCCATCATAGACCAGTGGGGAAGCAGTGGGTCTTAAACAGGGGTACACACCAAAATAAATTGTAGAAGCTTTCAAAATTCACATACAATTGGTTAGTCCCAAGGAAATCTAGGACATATGTTAGGTGTGTGTTTTGAAGCAACTCTATATGTGATTTCAAATATCATTCATGTTGTTAATTATTTTAAAGAATCAACAAATTATTTGTAAGTGCCAGATCTGGTATGATTACCTTATGATTTTTATTTATTTATTGTCTTGCAGTACATAATGCTTACATTCCTTATGTGGAGTCGATGCATGTAGACCACACATCCTAGTTTCTTTTTTTCATCCCATTTCCCTCCCCTCCCTTCCCTCCCCCTATCTCTTGATGCCCTTTCCATTTGAAGAAGCATTATCTCCTTATTTCCTATGACCTATCTTCTTTATTGCTCTTTATTCATAATTTGAGTTTAATATGCTAATTGAACATCCAGTTTCTTCAGCTGTAAAAATGAGGATGGATGACACTTTACATGCTTTTAAAGGCCAGCAGACATCAATAAATTGTGTTCTTTTTATCCTTTCATCTTGATTACTTGTTTTATGAAGTGGAGCTCATAATTGTTTAATAAGTTTTTCAAAAGTATCTGAATAAAGCAAATTAAATAGAAGTGGTTAAGGAAATGTGAAACATAATTTAAGTAGAAGATATTTTTTATCTAAAGGGCTGTCAGGTCAAGGAAAGACTAGGGAACCAGGGAAAGTGAATTTACTTAGTATGCAAACTTCAAGGAACTTAGGGTCAGTTTCTAAAAAACACTGAAAATAGCCTTTCATCCTCCTTCCAAAACAGCATCTTCTTGTGGCCATTCATCAGGTGATATAAATTGCAATGGGATGGGTTGGAAAGATATTTCTTTAGCCCTATGATCAACTCAACCATGCTATGGTTCACCCTCATACAACTCATTTACATTCTCTACATATTTGATCTTCTCCTGGTTTTACTTGTTTATTATTTGGAAGGCAGCATAGATTGGACAGCAAATTGGAAAGAACAAAATTAGGTCCAGGTAACAATGGTTGGAAATTTTTAAAAAACTGGGTGCACACACACAGATCCCTAAGAAAACATCCTCACTCTGACTAATCAATTGGCTTCTGTACCCAAAGCCTATTGTTTGAATGAAAATGAATTTCTGTATGAATCCAATGAAAGTGTACTTGGATATCATATGTACCTATCACTTTCAAATTTGTAATGCATATAGTAGATATCCATGATAAAATATCTTCTTCATTCAACCTAAATATATTTAACAAACTGCTGAGTCTCCAGCACTGCCCTAGGTGCGGTTCATATGCCAGACAGCTGTGATTAGGAAAGAAACACTCCATAAATGGTTGTATACAGAACCAACAAGCTGTAAAGAAGGATGATTTGTGGATGTGTTAATTATTTTTCTAGCACTATGAACATTAGCCAACATTTTGTTTACACTTATGTTCTATTACTGTTAGCTCTTTTTCTCAGCTAAAATGTTTCTTGCTCTTATTAAATATTTAAAAATAATTTTTGTCTTAAATGTGTAAATTATGTTTAATGTAAAGTAAAAGAACAAAAATATTATTTTTTGTATTTTATATACCTGTTCAGGTAATGATTCTTTGTAATTCTTGTTACCCAGGAGTAGGAACTCTAACTTACTTTCAAAGCTTGCTTAAGTGCTTCATATGCCAGTCCAAGAACCTTCCTTTAGCCATGTCTGAGCTAAACATCTCTAGGAACACTGTGAATACGCACTTAGGGCTACATCCACTATTTGCTATAAGTGAAGAGATAGATAATTCTCTAGATGTCTCCCAATTGAACTTAATGTCAACAGTGCAAACAGCCTCTTTACACTCCCAGTGTCTTCCACAGAACTTGACACTGGCTGGGTTTCTCATTAAATGTCAGCTGAATGGAACTGAACCAATACTACCTTTGCTAAAACTCATGTCTCCTTTATTGAGATAAACTGATGGTGAGAGGAGCATATTCTGATAAATAAAGATTGCATATGAATTCTTAATTTTATAGTCTCTTTCTCCCTTAACTAAACTCTAGCCAAGCATCCTAGGTTAAGCTGTTAAGAAATCCAACAAAACTAGCTGAAATGGGAATATCATGTCCAAACTACAGGAAGGAAGCATGAAAAACTTTATTTCTTAAAGATATAAAGTTGGAAGTTAAGATGACTTGGAAACCAGGAACCATTGAAATAATTTCAAAGTATCGAGTCTGCAGTTTTCTTTTTTCCTCTAAAAGAAAATATTTGAATGTTACATTTAATCATATGCTAGCTTCTAATATGTTATCTTTTTTCATACTGTTTTTTCGCTTGTTTAGATAACATATTTGAAGACCCTCTGTAAGGCTGAAGTATTTCAAGTATTAATGTGCCTACATAATTATGAATTATATTTTCTTTCAGGATATGATTTTTAAGCATTAATACATTGTTTAATTATATTCAGAGATATTCTTCCTTAGAGAAATGCTTAGATAGGAAAAAAGACTTTTTTTGAAAACTCGAACTTTTAAAAAATTACCTTGTGTTTCTTCTTAAACATGCAATGTAGGACAAACACAGTAACTTGAGATTGATTTTAAAAATGGACTAATTGTATGGGATGTGCTGACACTAAAGTAATCTATGTAATTTTTAAAACTTCCTTTGGCTGCTAGTGGGATGCAAAATATTTCAGTGTTTAGACATTCTTTGGAGTTACTCAAATGTGGGGTTGATTCAGCTACAAAACTCCTAAACGAGACTGTGGGGAATTCTATGTACTCTCTTTGAGGCACAGCTTTCTCATCTGTAACTTAATAATACTGTATACTTTATGGCTTGTTGGAGGTGCTACTGAAAGCTATCAACTGATATCTATTAGTAAACCCTCTGCAAAATAATTCTTATTATCATTCACTTTATGACAAAGGATCTCTTTTTCCATAGCCTACATCCTCTGCTCTGAGTGAAGTTGATTTATTGCTATTATTGTTGCTTATTATCACTTTGAATCCTTTCTTTTTTTTGCTCAAGAATACTATTGTTCAAATGCCACACAGGCTGTTTTACGGCAGATACTCATTTGCCAAGCTTCAGATGGCAAAATGCTAAGTGGTGAATTTGGTATTGTCCAGCGAGTTGTTTCTCCCTGCTCTGGAGACTCTGGTGGCATGTGCTGCTGAGAAGTTCCCCTGCTGCCACTCTCTTCTCACAGTTGGATCCACTAGGAAGGATCATTCATGTCCTTAAGATGCAAGGCCGAGCAGAAACCCTCCCACAAATCCACTGGATATCACGATGTTCTGTTTGACAAATTCTGTTGCTTCTTCGATTACATTGTTGATTGCAAGTGCTGCTTTATTTGCTCATTTCTTAAAGCCTTTTTGCTTTGTTTACATCTTTTTCAACTCTCTTCCAGTCGATCTGCACATAGCCACTATGACTGGCAATCTGTAGGAGAAGAAAGCTACCACCTACTGCTGTTGCTGCAAGTTTTCCAACTTTCTGGAACAAAAATCCTGCACACCAGCCAGTCACGCCACCCATTGCAATCTGAGTAGCTACTGAGTATTTTTCTACCATAGGTCCTGATTGGTGGCCAAACACTCGATTCCACCAGTGGTGTCTTCTTGTATACTCTGTTAAATCCAATACTTCGTAAGAGTCATCACTTTCATATTCTTGGGGAGGGAGGTTCCGGGCCGGTCTTTCTTTCTTTCTTTCTTTCTTTCTTTCTTTCTTTCTTTCTTTCTTTCTTTCTTTCTTTCTTTCTTTCTTTCCTTTCTTTCTTTCTTTCTTTCTTTTTTTGGAGGGGAAGGGGCTTATTTGGTTTACAGGTCATAGACATTTCAGTCCATAGTCAGCTGGCTCCAAGGGAAGGTGACATGTCAGACAAGCATCACAGAGGAGAAACAACATGGCACACACAAGGTAACAAAGGCAACAAGGAGGCCTTCACCGCATCTTTCTACCTCTTTTGTCCCATCCAGACTACTGGGCTGTATCAGTCATTTCTAATTGGATATTTTCCAATTTCAAACTTTTATATCATCATCTTCCTATAGCAGTTACTAAATGCGTTTTTCCTCTACGTCCTTCAGCCTCACTACAAGCTCTTGACCTCTATGTTCTTACCCTTTTGAATTTGAATTTCCCATTCCACAGGCTATAGGGATGTGCTGTTATGTTGGCCAATTCAGTTTTCTTCTCCTCAATAACTGTCTACACACAGTAAACAAATATCAGTGTTTATTGAGTCTAACTTGGAGGAATTCATATGTAGGACAGACACAAGAGAATACAAATTGCATTCCAAAGGGAAATAAGCAATAAAGCAAAACTGGTAGAACTAGAGAAATTCCTAGATAGATGCTTGGTGTTTCTTAAAAGATACAAAATACTAGGACTCAAGATGAAAATATAAAAAATAAAGAAGTTGGGTAGGGAGACTAAAGATGATATTATACCCAAACTGCTACTAAAATTTAGTTTTTTTAAAAAAATTAGTCATAACCAGGTGCAGTGGCTCCCACCTGTAAACTCAGCACTCGGGAAGTTCACAAGTTTGGAGCCAGGCTCCTCCACTTAGTGAATTTGTGAGATCCTGTTTCAAAATAAACAAATAACGTTTTTGACATAGCTCAATGCAAAGTTCCTTTCTTTCTTTCTTTCTTTCTTCGTTTGTCTTTCTTTCTTTCATGAATTTTCAGTATTTTCCTAATTTTTCCTCCCACTTGTCATTCTGATTACATGAAACCCAGACAAAAAATAAGTAATCTCCATGATGTCATTCTACTGCTCATTGGTATAGAACTTTAACAAGAAACCCCTGTTACTTTGTCATCACATGGACCTGGATTTGAATTATATCACCTCCTATTTGAATATCACAAGATAATGTAGAAATAAAAGTATTTAGTAAAAATCCTTGAGTCAGATGCATTTTTAATCACAATGTTCCCAAGAGACAATTTTAATCAATGAATGTGCCTTTGCTACCTCCTTTGGGGGGTATAAGATGCAAATGCAAGACTGTCATCATACAAGTCTATAAATCTGTGACACCATCTCCAGAGGGGATTTAGTGCAATACGAGTGAATGCATACGAGGCATTAGTACATCTTTCACTGGAAGAAGGTGAGAAAGTGCATGGAATTCTCTCATTAAAGGCAAACAGGAATCATCTGAGAAATTTTCTTCTGACAGAGTTTGGGACTGTTTAGAAAATGAGGGAGGGAGGAAATTAGAGAGGGTAAAAATGGCACAAACCTTAAGAGTCAAATAAATACAATTAAATCCTTATTTTGCCCTGGGTGGACTCAGTGAATTTGAAATTCTGATCAATTTATCTGTGCTCCATTTTCTATTCTTCAAAATCAAGATAAAAAGGATCACTTTGTAGATAGTTTGTGAGTATCGAATGAGATCACAAATATAATGAAATTTGAAAGACAATATATAAAATAAGAGAAATATTTGCAAAAGATATATCTAATAAAAAACTAGTATCTAGAGCATCTGAGAGATTTTTTGCAATTCAAAAAGGGAAATGATGCAATTTAAAAATGACCAAAGGATCTGAAGAGATATTTCTCAAAAGAAGACAGATAAATGTCCATTTAGTATATGAAACTGTGCTTATAACATAGTCATTGGGGAGGTATGAATTAAAATTTCAATGAAGTACCACTTGACACCCATTTGGATGATCATAATCAAGATGAAAAATGATATGGAGAAGTTAGAATCCTCTCATATTGCTGGTAGAAATATAAAATGTGTAGCTGTTTTAGGAAGCTGTTTAGCAGTACTTCAGAAAAACTAAAACTAGAGTTAGCAGGTAACCTGGTTAATCCACTCTTAGGTAAAGAAAAAGGAAAACATGTATGTCCACACAAAAATATGTACATGAATGTTCACAGCAACATTTTTCATAGTAGCCAAAAAAGTAGAAACAGCCCAAATGTCTACCAACATACAGTTGGACAAACAAAATATGGTGTTCTGTACACAGAAATATTATTTGCAATAGAAAAATTGTATCACATTAATTTAGGAAAATTTCCCCATTGCTTATTATTTGTTGTGTTCTTTTCTCTCTTTTTTTCTTTTGCTTTTCCTAGTTTGTCTATGTTATATCTTTTATAGTTGACTCAAAGTTCTTAAATAATTTGTTCTGATGTTTTCCAGTCTTTTTTCCTTTTTGACTTTCTGTTTTGGTATTTCTATTGATGGATCACCAAGCTCAAAGATTCTTACCTTGGTTTTGTCCATCTTATTAATGAGCCCATCAAAGGCCCTCTTCATTTCTGTTGTGATTTTGCTCTCAAAAATTTTTGGATTCTTTCTTTGAATTTCCATCTCTCTATTTGCATTTCCCATCTGCTGCAGCACACAGCTTACTGTATCAATTAGAGCTGTAGGTGTTTCAAATTTCCTGCATGATAATTCCAACAACCCTGCCATATCTGAGGCTAATTCTGATGGCTGCTGTCTTTTCAGACTGCGTTTACTGCCTTTTGATATGACTTGTGGCATTTCCTTGATGGCTACCTATGAGATCTGCCTAACGGACTTGCTGCGAACAGGCCTTTAGTAATGCAGTGATAAGGTGTTGGGAGTGGGAAACTCTCTTCCTTCTAAAAGTTGAACTTTGTTTTGAGTGAGCCTCTGAACTGTAATCTTCCTAAGTGCTTCTCAGTTTTTTCTATCCCTTTGGTGGGCTAGGATGGTTGGAGGAGGCTGGAGTTGGGTATTTCTCTTCTCTTGGGTTACTTAATATCTAACAAATGTATACTCCGGTACAGGGATGGTGACCATTTTAGGGTTTTCAATGATACTAACAGCCCATTTCCACACATAGGTTCACCACAGCTGCTCTAGTAGAATAGTTTCTGCTAAGATCAAACCTTTTGTAAAGAACAGAATGCTCGGCCCATTTAAAAATTACTTTCTTCCCATCTTCCTGCCAGAAGCACCACAGGACAATTTTTATTTTTAATTTCTGTTAGTCTCTGCCATAACTTTGTTGAGCTCCAGGAGGTAAAATTCACTAAAGTGTGGAGCCTGACTATGATGGTCCTCTTGGAAGATTTCATTCTCAGACTTGTCCAAAGATTGCTGCTTGGGGACTTTTACTCTTCTTTTAAAACTTATTTTTTATCAGTGCATATTTATCACATATATTGATCATATCTACCATAGGAAATTTGTACCCATATATATCTCATCTCAATTCTTTTTTTTCATTCTGCTCCCCTCCCTTCAACCTTTCTTCCACTCCCCATTCACACAAGCTTTGTTTTCATTCGTTCTTTTTTTCCCCTTCCTTCCCTTCCCCCATCCACTCCCTTTGTTCCCCTCCTGAGTCATTAGTAGGAAAATGGATGCACCTCCAGACCATAATCTTCAGTAAAATAAATTAAACCCATGAGTTTAAATATTGCATTGCTTCTCTTGTGTGAGAAACTCAAAGGCTGAATGAGGAGCATAATGGAGGATAGATATCAGAAAGTAGGAAGAACATGTTCAAATGGGATTTACACTTGTGTGTTGTGATTCTCTGCATTGGCCCACTCTTCAATTGAGCGGCAACAGTTTTCCCCTGTGACCTCTCTGAAAGATCTATGAAGAGCTAGGTTTTAGAAAATATTTTTCAGGAACAGAGTAACAACTTCCAGGCTCTTTTCATGCTAGGAGAAACTGGAATTTGGGGTTTCTTTTTGAAGTGATTAAAACGCTGTGAGATTATGTAGGAATGATGGTGGGACAACTCTGTGAATAGACTAAAACCCACTGAATTGTCTACTTAAAAAAGTGACTTTTATGTCAATTTTTCTTTTTTTGGTACCGGGGATCAAACTCAGGTCCTTGCAATGTCAATTATTATGTCAATAATAAAATAATAGAAAAGATTGGCTAGAAACCCAGATGACTGGCAATTTTCATTGCTGATGATAAATTGAAGATTAGGCAGGGCTATTTTCTTCAGTACATTTTTTTATTTTGAATGTAATATTGTTCACCCTTGGTCAACAATTTTAACTGATAACTCTTTTTGTTATCTCTTAAGATTGAAGATTTGAAAGTCAGCTGGGCACAATCCTTGTTTTAAAACCATATTCATAGATATTGTGTTCCTAGTCTGTGAGCTAAAATATGGCTCGTGTTGAGTAATGATCTAGCTTCCAAAGAAATCGGTTGATAAAAACTAATCAGATTTTATAGCCTAAGCATTTATGGAGAAAGTGTTCCCAGAAGATGACTTCAGACATTGGCTAGGAAACTGGAAAGATTAGAGATTTTGTAAATAAAGAAGACAGAGGAAATAAGAGACCAGCAGAAAATAAAAAACAGCTTTAGTGATAATCCTTGGGTGAAACAGATTTACGTCTCAATTCTGTGCTTAAATCACCATGATTAAGAGTTAATCTTAGATCTCAGAGGGTAGCTTTGAAAAATATCTATATTTTTATTTTTCTGAGGTCATCAGAATTGGAGAAGACATGTACTCTAGATGTACACAGGAGTGACCCAGTATTGCAAGGCAGGAGATGCAGAGGCTGTGGGATTCAGGCAGAGGCTGGCACATGGAGAATGTTTTCAGTACATGCTGATTACAGATTCAGTCACACTAAGACTCAGAAACAAAGCTGCCTGAATTTGAATCCTGGTTCTGTGATTTGCTAGCTCAGAGACATTGGACAAGTTGTACAACCTCTCCTGCCTTAGTTTCTTTATCTATGAAATAATAACAGTACTATGTTATAGGGTAGTTCGTGATAGGTGCTGTCTACCTGAGAGCTTTCCTAAGAAACAATGAGTAAAAGTGAAAATAAAAGTGAAAAAGTGAAGATTTACACAAAACACACCTACTCATACAATAAGTGGCATGTGCTGACATCCTAACACACACACAAATATATTAAGGAATCATCAAATGAATGACTTCTGAACTTTGTTAATTTTTTCCTGGTAAGCTCTGCTATCATTCTCAACAGCTCAAATATTTAAGTCTAAAATGTTGTTGACTCCAGGGATAAGTAGTTAAACTATGGAGACTATGAAAAAATTCAAGTGTAATTAAGAAACTACCTTAATTTTAGACTTCTTGATTACTGAGCAAAGTAACCTTGCTATGATTAAAAAAAAAAGTAGTACTGCAATAACCTCACTGGATCGCAATGATGGCACAAAGGTAGATTTATCCCTGGAACCTCAGCTTAAACCTGCCTCTTTACCAGGTTCAATGTGTGTGGATGAGTACTTGCATTGTCAAAATATCTAACTTATTTGCCTATCAAATTTTAAATTACAGTATAATATCTACTTGTGGGAATTTGTTGAATAGAAAGGAATTGGAGAATATCTAATGAAAAGTAAAGAAATAAAACTAATGTGAGTAATCAAAGTCCATTTTTAAACAAAATTCTCTAATTCAGAAGGGGGTTATTAATGGTGATTGTAATTGTCTTGGCCATTTTCTCTCAACTGATCTACTTGATTCCATTCCTTTTTGCATTTTTCCACTTCATTACAGTGCTATTACACCCTATGTGACTTGTAAAGCCATGGAGACATTATTTTGTAAAACCATATCAGAAGTATAGCTTGATTATTAGCTCAGTAGTATGGGGAAGAGTTGGATTTTATTCCTTCTCTACCATATGGTCTGTAACTCAGATGTACATTTCAGCTTCAACTTTGGATCCCTCTTAGTTACTACATCCACACATGACAGTACTTGACACATACAAAGTTTAAAAATTCTAGGTATGAGCAATTTCTTTGAAATTCATATAGGCTATAATTATGTTCTTGTACTAAGCTAATAATTGACTTTTATTCATAGATTTAAGAAAACACAATGGATCTATTGTTTATGTTTCTTATGGTCATTTATTCCTTCTTGAACGCCAACACATTGGTGTTGAAATTAGACTCAACTTTTAGCTCATCAACAGTTTTGGATAAAACGGAAGAGTTTGATGTTCAATTCACTATTTATGTAGATTTAAGAAATCAGTAGTGCACACAGATGAATGAGAATCCTTGAAATAGCTATCTCAGCAAATCCACTGACAAAGAAGCACCTACATATTAAGATTCTTCCTAAGTAGCAATTTGTTTCTATGGCACCTAAGTAGAGAAGACAGAATTTCCTATTAGTTTCTGAGAGCAGAAAAATATGAAGTAGTTAAGGTTCTCAAGTTTGGATTAAAAATGATGTTAATTTCCAGTAAGGATTAAAAGTTAATTTTAGGACATTTTTAGGCTATAATTTAATTTCTTATTAAAAGTCAATGTAAAAAGTTTGGTATTTGTTTGATTTACAAGGCCAGTGACTCAAGTCTCTAAAAATCTAAAAGCTTTATTTCAGTTAGGAGTGAAAATAATACATTACAAAAGAAAATTGCTTATTAAAGAGAAATTTAACAAGAAGAATCCAAGAAAACGTCAGAATGTGAGTACAATGTGAGCATAAGTGAGAGGAAAGGAAGGAAATTTATTCATTATTCATTTGTTGGTTTTAGAGTATTTTCTGGAAAACCTCTAAGTAGTTGGCACTGTGCTGTATGCACTGGGGACAGTCATGTTTGATGGTCTCTGTCTTAAAGAAGCTCTCAAGCTAGCAAGATAGGGTGGCTTGTCCATCTTTAGATAGACTAAAGAGGAGAAAATGTGTCATTAGCGAGCTGATGCGGGTGCAGCGCAAAATCATGGCAGGGAAGGCAATAAACAAGAAAAATGAAGCTAAAGAGAGACACATTAGAGACTCTTCAGAAAAAGCAAAAACAATTTTAATAAAGTGCTTGCCCTTCTGAAATCAAATACATTTAATACTTTGTATAATACATTGCAGATATGTCTTGTTCTTCAAAATGTCTTTTCTCAAAACATTATGAGGCTCAATCATGGTTATAAGATTAAGTATATTAGCACACCACAACTATTCAGTACTCTATATAGTGTGTGGTTTATAAAATTTCACAAATCACACAGTTTATACGAACTAACATGAGCTATACGAAGTTTCTAGGTATTTATCCTTGCTAGCTGAAGTGAACATTTTTTAAACATTGTCTCTTGGTATTCTTAGCTTTGAAAGATGGTCAGTGAAAGTTAAAAATAATTTACTATATAGGCACTGCTGTATAGAAAATACATTTTCTATTTCTATATATTGTAAGCTAGAAATACCTTTCGAATTGCGTGACGGTGTCTGAAAGCTTGACAAACACTGAATAGTCTGTAAAGGATGAAAAACCTCTTGACTATCAATTCAAACGAATATAGTTTATTTGCAGTAATACTAATTTACTTATTAAACTAAATACTCTGAAATGCTTTGGTCGTCAGGCACCAAAATAGTTAAGAAATAAGGGAACTGATTTCCCACTTAATTCTCGTGGGTGGTCTAATTCCCTGTGTTATTCACACCTGAAAAACATTTTTATACATTTTCAGCTTAAATGATATTCAGTTAGAAGAAGCAAATTAAGTCCTCTCTTAACATTAGAAAGAAAACTACAAATCACTCCTGAATAACTTCAAACTCTCTTTTGGTTCCACATTCTTTTTTTTTTTTTGGTACTGGGAATCGAACTCGGGACCTTGCACGGCAGGCAGTGGAACCGCTAAGCTAAATCCTTGGCTCCTGGTTCCACATTATTATTGTAACTTTTGCATGTTGTTACTTCTGTAACAGAATAAAGTGATGCCTCTCATTAATTGGGTGACCTGATGTAATGACATTCTAATATAATCAAGATGGCCCAATATAATGCAAGTCTAAGGGGGCTTCTGAAGTCACTTTACTTCCAAGAAATTTCCTTCCAATAGAGTCTCAAAGTCCTTATGTGCATAATTTTATAAAAAGCACTTTCAGGAAGTCTAGTTAAAACTATTGCCAGGAGATTCCAAAGCCTGCACATTTTGTTCCAAGTGTAATCATGACAACCATGACAAAAGCACTAAAAAGCAAGACAAGAAATTCTTGGTCTTTCTCAAATGATTTCACCCCCAATCTTTGGGAGGACAGGTAATGAAAGTATGCGGCAAGTTGTGCTTGCTTTTAAATAGGTGTCAGTGAGACCATACACTCCAAGAACTTTCAGACTTTTTCGTTATCATCACTGCTGATTTTTTTAAATGCAATTGGGCTTGCCTGCTTCAAAGAAGTCTTTGACACATCTGTGTGCATGGTGGACATGGCAATTGTCTCATAGTCATCATCCCGAGAGCGGAAATCACAAAAGTTAAAGAAGAACTGCAAGTCCCTCTGAAAGTTTTTGTTCAGGAATCCATAAAATATGGGGTTTACACAAGTGGATATCATTGCTGTGAGGTGGCACAGCAGGAATAACAGGTTGTGGTTGCACGTGGCAATGATCTGGTGATTCCAATCAAACACAGTGTTAAAGATGGTAAGAGGCAGCCAGCAGATGGCAAATGCTACCACAATGGACAGCAGCATGATGTTGATTCTTTTGTTTTCACTGGACCTGTACTTATTGTCTCTCATCTTGTCCATCATGTTATTTCTCCTTTTTAAGCGTATATATATCTATAAAGAAAAGAAATGAGTTTAAATAGAACTACTTGTTTGCTGAGTTCTTCAGAAAGAAGGTAAAAAGGAAAATAATAAGGGGAAAAGGTTTTCTTACCTTAAAGTAGCATATAAATATAAAGCAGAGTGGACCAAAGTACTGCAGCACCAAGAGAAGAGTAGTGTAAGACAATCTGTGAGAATCCGATGGAAATTTATCAAAGCATACCAGCTTGTCTTTGAATGCATCCAGCGTCACATTCTGGAATGGCTCATCAGTCAGCACTTGATAGATCAGGAAGGGCAGAGAAGAAGCCACTGCAAGAACCCAGATGACAGCAATACCTATGTAAGCATGTCTGTTGTTTGGTCTCCACCCTCGCGGGTTGATTATCAGCTGATGTCGCTCCACAGCAATAAGTACCAGAGAGAAAATGGACACAGTGATTGAAACACACTGCACAAAAGGATTCAGTTTGCACATCGTCTCACCAAAGACCCAGTGGTCCATTAGCGTGTAGACAAACGTGAAGGGGAGACACATGATAGCAACAAGCAAGTCTGAGAAGGAAAGGTTCACGATGAGGATGTTGGTGACATTTCTCATCTCCTTTTGTTTCAAGATGATTAAGATCAAAGCCAGGTTTCCGGAGATCCCCAGAATGATCACAGCTCCATAAGCAAGAGCTAAGGTAAATATCACAGCCAAGGGCAGGTGACAATCATCATTTTCAAATGCCAAAAATGGGGAATTCTTCTCTGACAAATTATAGTGAACTGAATGATTTTCAACCTGGGAAAATAATGTTGAATTCATTTTTATTGTTTCTGTTGTTACAGATTGGACAAATGCACAGTATGTTTCTTCAAATCATTTTAACTGTTCAACTTATTCTTCTTTCCCTTATTGGAATCCATTTACTGTAATTATTCTCAATTCTTCATTCCCATGAGCTGAACAACCTATAAAGAGAAAATGACCAATTCAGTTACTAATGGCAGTCAAAATGAGTTTTGATTTGTGGAACTCTTTAAAGTGAAGACATTGAAGTAAGTAAACAAAATATAATCTTGTAAATGTCTTTTTTAAGTGGAAGAATCATGCAAACATTTTGAATTTTAAACTTCTTGAAGTATTTTTAATTAGATTGTATTACACATTGAATTTCAGTGATCTAGGTAAGGTGTATATAAATCTCATGCTTCCCCAAGTCTTATAGAAACAGTACATCTGAACATCCCTACACACTATAAAAATGTGAATGTATAACAACTTAATGCACAGATTAAAATGTAAAAAATACAAACCAAAGAAAGCAAAATAACAACACATACTTAATTATTCATTATATTATGTAAAAGGTGAAATTAGCGCAGATGTCAAGTTGTAAGAATAGTTGTAAGAATAGTACATATAATGGTGCTTTTTAAGACAGACATTATGTAGCACAAGTATATTCAAAGGGACATGATCAATTCAGGAAAATATCAGAAAACTTTTCCATAAGAGGGAGTGTGGGAAGACTAAATGATGTTTTACCCAGGAAATATTTAGAATGGTAGAGAAACCATTACCATATTTTAATATGTGGTCTGTAGAATACAAGATCCAGGCTTAGAATATTATGTCTAATTATACAAGTTAGAAGTAGGACCAAGGGATGCACTTTAGTTTTAAAAATCACATCATTATGAGGAACAGAGGTTTAACCAAATGGAATTAATTGGCTACAAAAGTAGCAAGAGATCCATCACAGGGAAGACCACTTTGAAGAAGTCTTGCACTGTGTAGGAGCTCTAAGACTCCAGGATTTTTTATTAACTGTCCAATGTCTTCAAAAGATTTCTAAAGGCTTTACCTATGTGAATATCCGCCCTTCCCATTAGACTATATGCGCATCTAATGCAAGAGTATACATGTTAGTTGTAATTTTGATTTCCTACAACATTTTGTGACATAAATATTCTTGTCTTACTAGCAAGACAAAGCACAGACAATAGCCTTGTAGAGATTAAAAGCTCCTTTTAAAAAATCTCTACTTTTTTCTAAATTACTAAATAGACATGAGATGGGATTTCTTATGTTAACTAAGAGACTATTGTGGCTGTGCTGAGAAACTGAATTGCATTTCTTTCTTTCTTATGTGAGAACAATAAAGAAAATTGTGTACCTTTTTTTCCACTGAAATGAAAATAAGAAATTTAGTGAAGACAAAAATGCATTTGCCTTTTAAGTGATTCCTTTAATAAACCTTTCTTTTAGTGGTCCTGCTTTCTAGAATATGGGATGTTTCTGCTATCAATCTGCATTTTGGCCTCATAAAACTGAAAAACAGTAAAATAAAAGTTATTTTCAACAAGTCAAAATAAAGTATTAAGGAATGATAATGGAATGATTTCGAGTGGAAACATCATTAGAAATGTAGTTCTTTCTTCCTCTAGGGAACGCCTTGGAATGACTGCCTAACACTAATGGTGTAATCACACGTCTTCTCAAGAATTCAAAAGGCAGAGGGAGAATCATCAGTTAATGCCAGTTTGGGTGTGAGAACAAACTTTGAAGCGGTATGTTATATAATTTTTACTTTATTTTTGTTGTGATCCTGGGGATTGAACTCAGGGCCTTCATGCTGAACTACATTCTTCAGTCTTCTTTATTTTGAGACATGGTCTCAATAAAATGCCCAAGCAGGACTCAAACTTGGGAGCCTCCTGTCTCAGCTTCCCAAAGTGCTGGGATTACAAGCATGTGCCACTATGCCTGGGACTGCAACAGGTAATAATTTTAAAGCTTTTTTTGAAATGCCTCACTTTATTAGCAATTCAAAAAAATTAGCATCATACTTCATATTCAAGTTACTATAAAGATGTTTGACATTATTTTGTAGTTAGTTATGAGTTTTTCTTCATTTATGCTAATAGTAGCAGAGTAGCCATGTATATTTCCATTATTTTAGGGCTCCTCATGGCTGCCTGTCAACAAGTCCCACCAGGCTAATGAGAAACCTGGTATGAGACACATGTAGGATGGATTACTGTCCATCCTGAGCCTGACACTTAAACATCTTTACATTATGCTTTTTTCCCATGCTGCACTCTCATATCCTCAACAGGAATGTTCTATCCTAGGCACGCCGATCTCTTCAGTCTACCAGGTATAACTGCCTTTCCACCACTGGTCATTCTCCCTGCTTGGTGTTCTCTCTAATCTACATCCTACCCATTCCTCAAACCACCATTTAGTTCCTTGATTTCTTAATTGGATCTCAGCCATTTTAATTAATAAATAAATAAATATATATATATAGTCTTTAAGGTAGGCATTGTTCCTACTTTATAGTGCCTTGAAAATACTATTAATAATAATATTAATACTAATAGTAATATTATTATTAAAATAATATTATTACTCTGTTGATGACAGAGTAGATGCATGGTTGGAATAGTAAGTTCTTGTCTAAATCAATCTGAACATCAATAGCTGAATTCTATTATAATCTTTTTAAATGTAAAATGAATGTTTATTATAATAGTCATTCTATGAGGTCAGGTAGATAAGGAAAAAATAGTACTTTATATTTAAAAAGGGAACAGTTTCTGAAAGAACATTCATTTCTCCAATACATATTTATTTAACACTTATTTTGTGACAGTCTTTGCTTTAGTAGAGAGAACAGTGACCTTTATGTTGTTTTTCTGGTATTGTGGACAGAGGAACACAAGAAAAAATGAAGTGAATGATACAGTATGCTAGATGATAATAAGTGCTATGAGAACAATAAAGCAAGGAAGGAAGACTGGCCTTGTTGGGAATCAGTTTACTACTGGAGTAAGAAGAGGCCTCTGATGGTCTGAGAAGATGACACATTAGTTAAGATCTAAGAGTAGTGAGTAAAGAAGTCACATGGATATTTCATGGATTGCATTATGCGTGGAAAGAGTAACTATAAAATCCCAAAGGCTGGAGTATATCTGGTATGCTAAGCAGCAAGTGAAAGAGGAATGAATACAGGAGAAATTAGCAGAGAATTAATTGGGAAGGCTACAGGGACAACACAGACGGCGTAGAACTTTATTTTAAAGGGATTCACTGCTTTTTACCTCAAAGAGATGCTACTGGAGAGTCTTTGGCAAAGGCGTAAAATTTTACGACTTTTGCTTTAAAATTGTTACTCTATCTGCTGCCTCCAACACATTTAAGAAGGGAAAGAGAGTAAGCAGAGAGATTCATCAGTAGGCCAGTGCAAAAACCTAGGTAGAAGGTGATGTGGGCACACACCAAGATATTACAGTGGAAAGGAAGAAAATAAGTTTTATATCCACTGATTTACTTTTATGATTATGGAAATTCATGAAAACAGCTATTAAATTATTTCAGTATATGGGTTAAGAAGACAGAATTCTTACAGATAAATTTAGGTAAACATACTGAGACTCTACTCCAATACCTTTCAAATTATATTTGATGGGCATGCCCTATGAGGCATAACAGTTTTCCTACTAAGTAGAAGCCAATTTAGCTATACAGAAAATGCAACCTTTAGCTTTTTGGTTTTGGGGGGGTGGTTTGTACCAGGGATCAATTGAACTCAGGACCTTGCACCTGCAAGGCAGGTGCGGTGCCACTGAGCTAAATCCCCAGCCCTGCAATCTTTAGTTTTTAAAAAGTGTTTGAAAGCTTCTTTTGCTAAGTGCAGGGTTGGTAGTCATTCCTGTTGAGTAAAACAGTTTAGCATTGGATAAAATATATATTTTCAGTTCACCTTAGTATAATTTCAATAAAGAATAATCGTCAGAAAATAACAGCAGTAATAGAGTTTACATACCTTATCTTTGCAAAAGAAAACAATTTGGTGTTTACTTTTCCAATACATACCTGTAAAATAAATTCTACAAGTACAGACATTACAAAAATTTAAGACTGTTAAATCCAGTATAGCTGTCATGTACAGAGACAAAATAGAGATACTACACACAGCACTACTTGGCCAATTAGCCCCCTTGTAGGAGGAAATCTTATCCTTCTTTGCAATTAGAATACTGGGCCTTCTCCGCTTACTCTTCACATGCTCTTCCTACCTGAAAAGACAGCTCTCTGGGCAAAATTGCTGCAAAAATAATTTTTTTCAAATACCAAGACTGTTTACCTCTTCCATTTGGGAAGACGCATGTGAGCATGGTTACACACAGTGTCTCAAAGTTACTGCAAGCTTATCTAAACCAGTTATGTAATGCTGCGTTCCTTCACTGCACAAGGAAAGGGCATGTTCAACAGACAGCTACCTTAAGTCAATAAGGAAAGACTAATAAGGTAGTAGTCAGGCTGCAGCCCTGGGATGGAATTGGCCCCAACATCTTTCTGGTCTCTCTCTCTCTCTCTCTCTCTCTCTCC